TATATATATGTATAGGGTGGACAGAAGTTTCATTACACCAAATAGGAGCAACTTGAATGCTACCGGTGTGAATTTTTGTTTAAGCGCGACCTGTTGCCTTTGGCCTGTTTCTTAAGCCAATGTATATATTAGGACATGCACATATTCTGATGAACATTGTTCAGTATACAGCTCTGCACTAATAGATAACGGGTAATGGGTTCGTAAGATCGCAGAATATTCGAACAGTTTTGCTTGCAGAAGCCTAATTATTTCGAGGTTTATGCTAGGTATCGCTGTCAGGCGGATGGGTCTCAGTGCGAAACAAATGACGTTTACGCCCTGAAAGCGTACTACGAGCCTACCCGTGGTAGTTGGTGACAAGATACTCAAGTGGTCTATAAATATGATTAATTTCAGGCCAGTAAGTGTAGTGCAGTCCAGAAATAATGGATATGGAAGAAATGGAATATTTGCAAACAATGCTTCCTGCCAGTACTTTTTTATTGCAAGACTGAGATTCAACTTTGTTCATACATTAAGCTAGATCTTCAATGTAAACCGAAAACACTACTTAATTCAACATTAGGACATTGGAGGAAGAGACCTCCTCGGGGCGAGGGATCCCCAACTATCTCTCATTTCGAGCCCACGTTTGTCTAACTCATTGGGACAGGTGGTGGTAAATTTGAGTGCGTATTTTCCCGGCTAAATGACGATTTGTCGAAAGTACAAATAGACCGAAAATGGTCCGAGCGGAATATGATATAGTCTGTATGTTTGCGTACAAACAAGAGATTACACAATAAAAGTAACTGATATAGTTCCAAACCATTAAATCTCGATGAGTCCAATAAACAGGGCCAACGAATAGGCTGAGTCCAAAGGTGACGCATAAACGTGCAACGTGAAATCGTTGATGGATATGGATTAGAATCGTGCAGACGCATTATTATATAAGATGGCGTTGACCAGCTTAGTCGTCGTCCTATGGGCACTTGTTAATACATTATCATTGATTCCACTTTTTCTTTGTTCTTGATATGACACTGTGTCCGAAAACGCCTTTGCTGTCTAGTTAAGCACATCTCGTTATTTAGTGGCGTCTGTCATGTTATGTATATAATTAGTGGGGCCTAAAGCACCGTTTTGACCCGAAACGGAGAATATTTGCATATTGTGCTATTTTCAGAAGATCAAATATAAACAACATCAGAACAGATACTGAGCAAACGAGCAACGTGACCGCATTGAAAAACCTAGTGAGATCTACAGCCACAAAGTTCTGAGCCTTTTATATTATTTTATTCAGTTGAACTACAGTGCTCAGCTATAATTTACCACCGCTGTTGTTCTGACTTAGGAAAATCCTGTTGTCCATAGTTAACTGTTACTGTTTAATTAAAATTTTTTAATCGAAATAAAAGTATTTGGGATGCCCGTTTCTGTGTGTTAGTTAGTGATCTATAACGCATTTTCATGGTTAGACTATAATTTTCGAAAATTTAGTACTTAGCTTAATTTCGAAAATTAGTTGGTCAATCATCAGCGACGTACCACATGAATTGACTAACAGTTTGATACAGTCGGCGTTGTATTTAGTGGGGTAACAATCAAATAAAATTCATAACTAATTATGATAATTAATTAAATGTTCTAATTCAGTAATTTCCCTGACCCACAGTACACGTATGGTGTATAGCCGTAATGTCAAAGAAATTTATCAAAAGACAGTTAGTTGTCCTGTCCCTACGACGTAAATTTAATGATACATTAACTGTGTTTTTAATTATAAGATACATAAACTTAACTATAAAGCATGTCTTTCCGAATTTCGGAAAAAAACAAGACCTGGGAAAATTAACATTCGGTATAAAGTGTATGCAATTGACTTTATGGAAAACGATCGTACCAGTGAATTCAGGGCGTGAGATCTTTAGTATTATAGCGACTATCAATGGACGTGCAGCGAAATAATGCTGTGGTCTTCATGGGCGTGAGCTTCAAAACGGCGCATATTTTCAGCTCTGGAAGAAAAATGTAGGGCTCTGAAGACACTATACATGTTCATGTACCTCACGATTGTGACACTTCGCAGCATTAAAATAGACATAGAATAAAAACGGGGCTTTTAGGTACGATTTTAATATAGAGGTATCAACACTCCGATGGTTTTCCCATCGTTTCTTACCCAAACTCTCCTCTCCGTTTATATTGTTTATCTCAACCGACAATTCGGGTTTCGAGACACAACAAACTGGACTTGCGGCTCCCTCCTACGGACTTCTTTTATCGGCAGTCCCATTTCGGCAGATGCTGAGCGTCCCTCTGATCGTTTCCTGATGAAATAGATGTGATACTTCTTTTTCAGAGCACAACGACACATTTCGCATTGCATATTGCCTTCGACATTTTCGCATGCCGAGTTCTCATGAGAGCCACTCTGCTAGTGTTGACAAACTGTAACAGGAGCACTTTTATATTTTACAGACAGTGCTTGTTGTGCGCCTAGCTAGGCACAGCATGGCCTGTTTCGGCTTTAGAAGTCAGCCTTTATCGTGTCAAGGCCTATTTTGGATTCGTCATTAGCTTGTTTCTGTGTGTCTGCTCCGTATCTGAGTACGTTCTTTTTTAATCCTACAATACACTAATCATAACTTTCGCCGAACTTCATCACTTACGAGAACTAATTACTCGAAAACCGACGCACCATCCTATTAATTAACGTTGTCGAACAGTGAGCTCCATTGGACGCTTTTTGCTGACTAAAGCTATGCCCGGCTTTAAATGCTCAGTCGAGAAGACGTCACGCCGAAGACGCATGCCACTCCTGCCCACAAAGTCATATTTGCTGTGCTGCTAACAGTATATTCTTATGTGAACCTAAACAATGCTGAAGCATTGTTGAGAGTACTCTATCGCAACGTTCTAAGCAATAGTAAATCTCAGACTAAATCCAAATCTCGATAGAATAACAGTGCCATCACCAACACGCTATCGACGACAAGCCCAAGTCATCACAGAAAAGTTTCATAGAGCCGGTAATTTGCAGGTATACGCCGATACAAGTACAGGCGTTCCTACTGATTTTGTCGTTTTGGTTGTGAAGTAGATAGCCACAGACAGATGCAACTCCGCGAAAGCTTCAGGTCGATGGCGGCCAGGAACGCGTTGGAGATATAAGGACCACTTCACCCAGCACTATGAAGTGCGCCGAATCACGTTTTGGGCTACTATCGAACCTCTGGCTTATTTCCATTGCGATTCCTTGATTAGTTGGACATACGGATAGCCCGTTTTGTGCGGTCCCCCTTATGTTTTTTAAGACACCCATTGAAAGTAAGAATACTTGTTAAAGTCGTTGTCATCGACAAAAAGACTATTTGTTCATAGTGAGGGATGGCATTTTACCGAAGACTCAATCACAGATGAGTTCATCGGTATTATTTTTCTAGTTCACTTAATTAACTAGCTTTATTAACGTCTACATTGTTCTAATTAGCTTCTTGGGCATAGTAAGTTAAATTTTAGGTATGATAACGAGACGTTGTATATGATAGTTCCAAAATATTTCTCATCCATTTTGATGGAAAGCAGTCTAATTATAAAAGTATTGAATAGAATGATAAGAATAGAATGTGTGATGAGTTCATATTTAAGCACTTCACACGTTGTCCCTATGATGGCTTGCAAAACTTCATTGAGTGACCTTTTTTGGAACAAATTTTACCTGTGTGAGAAATCGTTATCGCTGGCAGAAAAAATGTCGATCGATACGTGTAAATGCAGTATGGTTACCCTAGTTCTTTGATTTGATGATTTGACGTCCAGTCAACTACGACGAGGAAATATCCAACGACTCACAGAGACTTCGTATTTGAAATGACAGCTCCAATGCCGCGGCTGTTTGGCCTTAAGCTTTTCGAAAGCATCTCTCGGCATACGTTTCTCGAATACATTACGTGTAGCTGACTTTGTGGATCACACCCATGCCCAACAAAGGACCTTGTAGGCACGAAAAACTCTATCGTTTCATCTATTGCTATATCTATCTGTTGCTAGATGTTAACAAAGCATCAGACTCCATAAAATGCAGCACATCTTACTCGGTAAATAGTACCATGTAGTACCGTGTATGATACCTTATTTCCTTTTAAAACCCAACCCAAAAAAGTAACTTGGGAATATTTTTTGGCTAGTCGAACTATTCGAAGTGGCTTCCGCTTAGAGCCGAACTCGTTATGCGGGACAATTCTCTCAAGTGATAAACTTCCGCAAAACAAATCGCTATTCTATGCACTAAAGACGATGATTAGACCCAGTCGACCCACACTTGTCATGTACGCGAGCCATTTTTTTTCTCTTCGCTGAGCCTCTTACTGTAGAAACTCCACAGTCAGCAACCTATATACGGATAGGTATTCATCGCACAAGTATTCATCTCGGCACGATGCGGATTCGGTGTTGGTGCTTGAACGAATCACTGTCTAGCATCGCAAACGGTGAATGAAGATGGAAGTGGATTCTAGTGTGGCTGGCTTGTTTTCTCGATAGTGAAACTGCGAATCCGTTGATCCACGAAAAGCTACGCTACCTGGGGATTAGGAGGCGGACTGATCTAGTTTCTTACAGACGGGGTTTGATGTGACGAAGCTACACGGCAGCTAGCACCAGCATGGCCGACATCAATGAGACAGTCCCAACCGATGGGATATCTTCACGGATAAAACGCAGCGGCACGAACCCTTTCGTAGAGAAAAGCTTTGCCAGAACGGATTTAGATTCAGGTTGGATCCTAAGGGCTGTCGCATCTCGGATCCCTAACACTAAAAAATTAGGCTGGGGGACAACCCAAACAACGGTACGAATCACATGTGAACG